TAAGAATCTATAGTGGGCAAATGGATGAGCTATTTATCTTCAGCTAATCTTCCAGAAACATTGATTGTTCTGCTTAAGTACTGAATTGCATTGAGTTAAGAACATACTGACAAGGACCTGGAGTGAAGGTTTTAATATGGATGGATGAGGAAAGGTTCCTTTTCTTTGACACTCAAGAAACAGGAAGTGGGATCACATACCTTTATGAAGGAGAAGCCTGTTAGGGACATGCATGCTGTCCCGATACCACTTTCTACGTGGGGCAAAATAATCTAAAGAAATAATGGTAGTTCTGCTCTAGTACAGAAACATATAGATGGAGTCCTAGAGCTATACCCTTAAGTAACGCCTGCCCTAAAAAAAAAGTTAGTCTAAAAAAGTATTAAAAATACATGTCGAGAACTTCCAGTAAGATGGTAGACTAGGCAGATAAGCTACACAGACCCTCTTCAACAAAGAAAAGAGACACAGGTACAGAAGATAATCCTGGAGCTTTGAGCTTTGAAATGAAGAATACAGAAGTAGATTAAACACCAAGTACTAGAAGAACCTGAATGAAAACAGTGAGTAAGGAGATAAACAGAGCTGTGGACTGTCAACTATCCTGATGGCACAGACAGTGTGAATACTTCCAACTGGTATTTGGGCCTAAGAATCAACCTAAAACTCGGCCCTGTTCACCAAGGGCTACATGGATGACTGCACTGGTGGATGATGACTAAAAAGGAAAACAGCAAAGAAAAAGACAAACTGAGCTGTGAATTTTTGGCTGTCTAGAGGGCACAGCCATTGTGAATGTTTACAATCAGCAGCCATTTTGGATATTTAAAGTGATAGCATTCTAATTTGGATTCCAGGGAACTAAGAATAGGCTCTGTTTGCCAAAGACAGCACAGACATACAGGAGGCTGACAACTGGAAAGGAGACAATTGGTGAGTGCATAAGTGCTGCCAACTAGTGAACAGAGGAGCACAGTACCCTGTTTACTCAGATACATCCAAACAAAACAAAGAAAAAAAAATCTTGGGCAAATCACTCCAATACAATCACCAATTAAATATAAACATAAAAACGTCACGATGTATTGGAGACAACAGACCATCAAGGTCCATACAAAGAAGGAAGATAAAGCAGTAGAAACAAGGGACCAGGACACAGACCCAGAACACATTCCTGAGGAAGAAGCAGCACTGGAACTTCCTGATAAGGAATTCAAAAGAATTATATTTGGGTACCTTTAATGGATTGAGGGACAGATCAAGGAAAACACTGACAAAATTGAGGAAAACACAGAGAAAACCCTAAACCAATTTCAGAAGACAAAACAAGAGCAAAATAACAAAATAAATGAAAAATCAGAAACAATACAAAACCTACAGATAGAAAGCCTATAGGTTCATATGGGATACCATCAAAAGGAATGACCTATGTGTAATCGGAATTC